AAAACAATCTTAAGTGTGTCCAGACTTCTGCACATGAAACCAGGAGGATGATTTTAATTTTTTTCATGCTTGGCATCTGTCGCTCGGTTATTTTCGGCTCCGTGTCGCTGTAGCTGTGGCACATGTTTGCTGTTATTTATTGATCTTTCCACTGTGAACTTTAACAAACATGTTTTTTCAGGTCTGTGATGCAGCAGCTTCTGTATGGCCTGGCCTCCAACAGCTGGCTCTACCAAGGTTGAGTAGTGAACTAATGGAACTTTTCTTTAGCATATTTACTGCATATTTACCTTGTAGTATCCCCTCCAAACTTGGCTAACCAGCTCTGAGTTCTCCTCATTAAAGAGACATCATGTAAACAGTACATTCACGCAAACATATGTGCATAAAACCTGCTCGACAGTCACTTTAAAGCAAACTATTACCAATACTTGCTAAGAGTGTTGCACGAGCATCCTACGAGAAGCTGATTTGAATGTGCGTTTGCCTTTCAGGTGACGTCCTAGTTGAAGGTTTTGAGACAAAAGAAAGCAGCTGCGTGAACATCCAGAGCCAGTTTTACTTCACAAACACCACAAACTCCTACAACGTGCTGCAGGACTGTGGAAACTGCTCGCGGTGGGTTTTTTGGAGCATCAGCAAAACATGTTTTACAGCGTTTGTGCTCCGAGGCCCGAGCTGTCCACACGGAGCCGGCTAAATATCCATCACTGTCTCCTACAGGCTGTTCCACGCCAAGCGGATAGAAAACACCAACCTGCTCTTTGTGGTCGCCGAGACGCTGCCCTGCAGCTCCTGTGAGATAGAGAGACTGACCCAGGTCAGGACTGAGTGTATCCTTTCAGCGCTCTCAAGTGCTTTCATTTCTGCTGAAGGTGGAAATCTCATCCGTCTTGTGTGGCAGTTAAGTTCACTGTTACCTCCCTTAACTGAAAGCGTGCAGTTCAGGAGGAAAATCCATGTGAAGTACTGAGCAATGCACGGTATCGTAAAGGCCCGACGTCCTGCTTTGACTACAGTGCCTTAGTAAGTACATACACGTGGAATTATATTTGTGCCTTAATCTTGAACTCTTGCTGAGACTTTCTGAGCATAAATACATCAGCACATAAACTAAAGTTCATTTTAACAAACAATATTGTCATATCAGCAAAATTATTCAGGTGTTATCACCCACTAAAGAACACAATTATTACCCTTTCTCACTCAAAAAATGCCTTTTGAAATGCTTATGAAATTCCAGTTATTAGGTAGTTTCTGCTGGCTTGTATTGGTAGGGAGCAAAGCAAATTTGTTCCCATAAAGAAAACTTAAATCGTGACTCTAAATCAACATAAATCTGATTCTATGATGTGACTTGTTGACACTCTGCTACAATTCATTTTTAAAGCAACTTATT